TATGAGGGGAAAAAATGTTACAAGGAAATGAAACAAGTACACATTTTCAAAGGATGGGAAATTAAATATGACATAAATATTCCCAGGTTAGAAAATAATAAAAGTACCACGGACTTCCAGAAGAACAAACAAATCTGTGTTGGAAGAAGTCCAACCAGAATGCTCCTTAGAAGTCAAAATGGCCAGACTTCACACATATTTTCATGAGGGACCAGTCCCTGGAGGACATTATGCTTGGAAAAGCGGAAGGTCAGCAAAAGAGAGGGAGACTTCAAAAGAGATGGACTGACACAGTGGCAGCAGTTATGGGCTCAAGAGTAATGACTGGGAGTTTGGCTCAAGACAAGGTAGTGTTCTGTTCTATTTTACATGAGTAACAATGAGTCTGAACCGACTTGATAACAAATATGACCATTGAAGCCTTATGGAAAGAAATGACATTTCAACTTAACTCTAAATACTATTTTAATTAGTATTTTAAGAGCACTTTCACATGTTCATATAACCGTTACAACCTGGTCAGAATATCATTTTGCAGACACAAGAACTGAGGAAGACACCTCAAATTTACTAACTAGAAATCAAGAGTTAATATGAAGAGACTTCATTTTCCTTGTTGTTGCTGTTGTTGATTGGAATTGGTTCTGACTCATAGCGACCCTGTATAGGATTTCCAAGGAACAGCTGGTAAGATTTAAACTGCCACCTTGCAGTTCAGACAGACCTTCCTGTCTAGTGCTTATCTTTTGTATGTTGTTGTTACGTGCCATTGAGTCGGTTCCGACACATAACGACCCTGTATAGGGTTTCTGAGGAGCAGCTGGTGAGCTTGAACCACCAACCTTGCAGTTCAAACGGCTTTGCAGTCTGGCGCATTAGCCCACAGCGCCAGGACTCCATCCTTTGTATAGGTGCTCTCTATTTATTTGCATTTCCCCATAATGGATGAATGGGATAGCAATACACAGATTGGAACAGACAGAACAAAGGGTAAAACACAGAATACCAACCTTAGGAAACAGTTTAGATAAGGGAACTGTGGAGTGACAGCACAGCCAAAACACCAAAAACCAAACTCACTGCTATCCAATCAATTCTAACGTATACTAACACTATGAGGCAGAGGAAAATGTTCCAGTGGGAGTTCTGAGACTGTAAATCTTTACAGGAGTAGACAGCATTCTTTCTCTTGCAGAATGGCTAATGGATTTGAACTGCCAACCTTGCAGTTGGCAGCCCAGTGTTTAACACACTGCTCCATAAGGGATTCCTGAAATTACATGGCGATGTATCCACTGCTTCTTTCAAATGATGTTCCTCCACTTAGTAATCATCTGTGGTAAGGGCTCCCTAAGCTTCTATCGCAGGGAAGTATCTTAGCAACAAATTATGACCTTTGCCTTATTAACAACAACAAAAAAAAAGCAAAACATTATTTTTTATGATTATAATAATTGTTGTTAGGTCCCTCAAGTTGGTTCCCACTCACAGTGACCCTACGCACAACAGAACGAAATACTGCCTGGCCTTGTGTGCCATCCTCAGTTTTTTTTAATTTGAGCCCATTTTGCTGCCACTGTTGTCAGTTCATCTTGATGGGGGTCCTGATTGTTCAATGATTCACCACTTAAGCAAGAGTTATGATAGTGCAGTGGCTTACACATTGGACTGCTAACCACAAGACCAGCAGTTCAAGTCCACCAGGCACTCCTCAGATGAGGTTTTCTGTTCCCATAGATTTATAGCATTGGACACCCTACACAGGATGGCTATGAGTCAGAACCGACTCAAAGGCACATAGCCACTTTACCAAGCATGATGTCCTTCTCAGACTGGTCCTTCCTGATAACATGCCTAAGTATGAGAGATAAAGTCTGGCCATCTGGCTTCTAAGGAACATTCTGGCTATACTTCTTCCAACACATTTGTTCTTCTGGCAATCCATTGTTGTTGGTGTTAGGTGCCATCTACTTGGTACTGACTCATAGTGACCCTATGTCTTAACAAAAAAAAAAACCACTGCCTGGTCCTGTGCCAACCTCACAATCATCACCATATTTGAGTTCATTACTGCTGCCACTGTGTAGACTCATCTCATCCCCTGACCCTCTCTTCCTCTTTCTCTGACCCTCTACTTTACCAAACATGCTATCTTTCTCCAGGGACTGGCTGGTCCCTCTTTTCTCCTTTCCTATCCATTGCACAATTTCGCATGTGTATAAGATGATTGAAAATTACTTGTATCAGGTACACTTTAGTCCTGATATTTTTGCCCTTTAACACTTTAAACAGATCTTTTGCAGATTTGCCTAATGCAATGTTATTTGTTTTTTTGACTGCTGCTTCCATGTTGATTGTAGATTCAAGCAAAGTGAAGTCTTTGACAACTTCAATCTTTCTCCATTTATCATATTATTTATCATGGACCATTTGTGAGGGAAGTCCTGGTGTGGCACTGTGGAATAAACCACTGGACAATAAGGTCTTTTGGAACAAGTTTGGTGATACAAACTCACTAGCCACTCCTTGGAAACCCTATAAAGGGTCACTATGAGATAGAATCGACTTGACAGAACTTAATAGTTTTGAGGATTTCTGGGTTTTTTGCATTAAGGTGCAATCCATACTGAAGTCTGTGGTCTTTGATCTTCATCAGGATTTTAAGTCTTCTTTGCTTCCAGAAAGCAAGGTTGTACCATCTGCATATCTCAGGTTGTTAATGAGTCTTCCTGTAATCGTGAAGCAACATTCTTTTTGATGTAATCCAGTCTCTCAAATTATTTGCTCAGTATACAGATTGCAGAGTGAACAAATATGATGATAGGATGTAACCTTGGTGCATACCTTTCCTAATTTTAAAACATTCAGTATCTCCTTGTTCTGTTTGAACAAACTGCCTCTCGGGCTACGTAGAGGTTCCTTATGAGAATAAGTAAGTGTTCTGGAATACCATTCTATATTTAAAGTTTGTCATGCTCCACAGTTGAAATCCTTCACATAGTCAATAAAGAATATGCAAACATCTTTCTGGTGCTCTCTGCTTTTAGCCATGCTACCTACGTCAGACATCAGCTCTGATATCCCTCGTTCCAATCCTCACCTGAATCCAGCTTGAATTTCTGGCAGTTCTCTGTCCATGTACTGTTGCAGTCGTTTCTTAATTATTTCCAGCAAAATTTTACTTGCATGTGATATTAATAATATTGTTTGATAATTTCCACATTCTGTTGGATCACCTGCTTGACAAAATATAGGTAAAATATGGATCTCTTCCAAATGGCTGGCCAAATAGTTGCCTTGTAAATTTCTATGGAATAATATTATAATAAACAAATGATTAAACATAAAATAATAGGATATTGTATGCATTCATATGAAGTCACATAAAATAAGTGTAAGCATGACCATAGAAAGGTTAACTTTTTCTACACTAAAAATTCTTTTGATGAAACTGAATTCTCAAAATCAGCTATTTTACTAATAACTGATTTTGAAACTAGTTAAAACTAATTTTTCAATCTTTTTGAATTGAAATGTGTTAAAGTACTGGACTGAAAATTCAGTTTGAATCACAAGGTCAGCAGTTCAAACTCACCAGCTTTTCCCTGGAAACCTTATACAGGGTTCTAGGAGTCAGAATCAACTCCTCAGCACAGAACAGCAAAAACATTACTTTTAAGAGGTGCTAAGAAGCTAAGCTGAACATAATTCACCAGAAGATGACCAGAGAAGTAATGTATTTGAATTATGGTGTTGGCAAAGGATACTGAATAGATTATTGTGGACTGCTAGAACAGAAAAATCTGTCTGGGAGAAAATAGTCAGAATTCACCTTGGAGACCATGATGGTGAGACTGTCTCATGTACTTTAGACATGTCATTAGGATGGGACAGACACTAGAGAAGGACATCATTCTTGGCAGATGATTAGTGAAAATTCTTGGTAGCAGATCACCATCAATGAGATGGAGTGACACAATGCACTCAAATGTAGCAACAACTGTGAGGATGGTGCAGGACTAGCAGTACTTCCTGCTTTTGTACACAGAGTCACTATGAGTTGGAACTGACTTGAAGGCACCTAGTAATTAATAATCAACGAGTTCTGGTGACATAACAATTAAGTGCTAGGCAACCAGGTGATAGGTCAGTGTTTCAATCCCACCAGCTACTCCTAGGATGAACGATGTGGCAGTCTGCTTCTATACAGACTACAGGAAACCCTGTGGGCAGCTGTACTCTGTCCTGTAATGTAGCTATGAGTAGGAATTACCTGGATAACAATGAATATTTTGGTGTTATAATCAATCATCTGTGAAATCTTGGAAGAGTCATTTAACACTCCTGGGTTTTAGTTGCTAAATGTCATTCATGTTTTAAAGTGGTTTGAGCAGAACTCTGAAACACTATGTTGTTGTTAGTGCCATCGAGTCTGCTCCAAAGTGAGCCTGTATAGGGTTTCCAAGGAGTGGCTGGTGAACTTCTGACCCTGAGATTCAAATTGACCTTATCCTATAGCGCCACACCAGGACTATAACTGCCTTAAAAAAAAAAAAAAAAAAAAAAAAAAAATCAACATTTATTGTCCTTGCATTTGAATATACATGGATTAGAGCTTCATCAATTGACCATATATAAATAAAATAATTTTTAAATCAGAATATTAAATAAAAAATTAAGTCTTTTAGCTACATAGTTTGAGCAGAAGCAGAATGAGAGGGTCAATTGCATACTTACGTAAGACTTGTTTGTCCCTCCCTCTTATATGTACTATCTAGAACAGGAAAATACATCCAGACTTAAGGCTATTTATGGTTACTAGGACAAGTGAGAGGGCAAGGGCAAAAGGGAAGCACAGTTTGGGAGACACTGAAATTGTGTTAAAAGTGATGGAAAAGGATAATGCTTGCACATGATGAATACAATTAATGCCACGAAATGTTGACAGGTAAAACGTTGTTACACAGACAACAAATTTACCACAAATCTACTGCAATGAAAAAAATGATTGCAGTTAATATATGGCCATTACAAGTCTCATTAATAAAATTCCTTTAATTGTTACTTCAGTGAGAATAAGTAGCCCCAAAGTCCTGAATCAAATGTTTTGTTTGTTTTCCAACAGCTGTGCTTTGTCTTCTTTTGGCCTATTCAGTAGAAAGTGAACTATTTGAAGTAGAACATCATCATTAAAACCTTTCACCTCATTATCTTCTATTGTTTCATACAGAGGCTTACTGTGTGTCCCCCAACATATGTTTATACGAGGGTTATTTTGGTCAGCTTGTACAGTCAGTGCCAAAGTATTTAACTGGTAACAGAAAAAGGAAAAGTATTTCCCATCTGTGATCACGCCTTGGGATACAAAAGGCCGAGTAACATCTGCTTCACTCCAGAATCCTGTAGAAAAAAAGTTACGTTAAAATTTACAGAGGTATTTTATCAAAACAAACAAACCCTAACACATGAGAACATATTTAACACCTCCCAAAAATTCTGGATACTTTATCTTCCTAATAAATTAATATCTCATAATTTTCTATTATCTTCTTCATTTTAACCCCATATTCCATTTTTTTGGATTAAAAATTACTTTGTAACTTCTAATATCTCTAATAGTCATTGGATGGTGCCAACATTTTGCACTCAAACTACTATTACTAACAAAAAGTTGGCAATTCAAATCCACTACACCACTGCACAACAGATGGTATGCTTAACGCTTTACGTCTATAAGACTACCGGTAGTTACTGTCGGTGGATTCTGACTCATGGTCAAGTACAACTGCTCCACAGGATTTTCAAGGCTGTAACCTTTTACGGTGTGTAGTCACTCCATAAAATAAGCACTGGACTTCAAACCACAAGGACAGCGGTTCAAGCCCACTAGCCATTTCACAGGAGAAAGTTCAGGCTTTCTCTTCCTGGCAAAGATTCAAAGCTTTGTAAATTCTATACAGGGTTGCTATGAGTCCAAACCAAGTTGATGTCGCTTAATAAGAACCACCTTTCAGAAACAGATTACAGGGTCTTACTTTGAAGGAGACTCTAAAGGGTTTAAACCACACAACTTTTGGTTAGTATAGTCCAGTGCTTAACCATTGCACCAGCCAGGGACGACTCCTTGAAGACTGTTGTTAAGTGCTGTCGAGTCAATTGACTCACAATGACCCTGTATAGCATTTCCAGGGAGCAGCTGGTGGGTTTTTCAGTGCTTATCCTACAGCATCACAAACAGGCCTCCTCTGGAAGATTACATCTGGTACTTGCTACATCATTATTCATTGGTTTCAAATATGCTCATAATTCCCCAAACTCATAGCCCTGCCCACCCAAAAATCATCACACCTCTTTCTTCATCAAATACAGACAGAAAAAAACTTCAGAAAAACTCATTCCACGGATTTCACCAGTGTCTTTGATGTCAAGGCATGTTTTCAAAACGATGCAACTTATATTTTAACCCAGGAAAATAATTTGAACCCTTAAATTCTTAAGAATATAAGCCATTCTAGATTTACCTTGATACAAAGCTTGTGCTCCAGTCCAAGCAAAAAGACTTGCAATAGCATTAGCTCGAAATACAACTTCTATCTGATCGGCGCAGTTTTTTTTCAAAAGCCTTTCCCTTTTTAACTTGTCAGGTAACAAATGAAACTGAGTGTGACCATAGCAGTATGGATCTGCTGTCTTTGAACCTGCAGAACAAAAGAAAGGACGTTTCATATGAAATACACATGCAGACACATATTAAACATTAACTTCACACCCATATTTCTTCTGTACACATCATGTACTCACTCAAATTGGAATGATTAGTCTTCTGATTGATTTTATTTCATTTACTGTTGTTGCAGAGTCCTGGTGTGGTGCAGTGGGTTAATGTGCTATACTGCAAAGTCAGTTTGAACTGCAAGGCTGGTGGTTCAAGCGCACAAGCCACTCTCGGAAACCCTATGCAAGGTCGCTATGGGTTGACCCATAGTGGGATTGAACTTTCAAACTTGTGGTTAGTAGCCTAATGTTTAGCTTACAGTGTTTAACCACACCACAACTTCTTACTGAGTATAACACAGATGAATTTCACATGCAAGTAAAATTTCTTAATCTGTTAGCTATTCTCAAGTTCATTATTACGACAGAGGATAAGTTCTAAGACTACATAAAAACCTATCTAAAATTCTGTATTATTTCAGTTCTCTCCAATCCCTCAATCATCATTGGGAACTTTATTATTTGCCTTATAATCACCAGAGGAAACAGATAATTGGTAACTTTTAAACCTCCCTTATTATTTTAATGTAATGATTAAATAAGTATCTTGATTCTAATTGTCTTTTTAAAAAAAGGACCTTTATATTACATTTAGAAGTAAAGAAAATAAGAGCCAATATTTCATATACTGCTGACCTTACTTAGTGGTAAAGTCTTTTCAAGAGAAAAGTTTCTCACAGTTCGCTTCCTAAGATCACAGTGACTGAGATGGAAGGGGCTGGTAAAATGGTCTGGAGGTTTAAGTCTTTCTTAAAATTGTCCTCAGCTTGGCTAGAAATTATAAAGGTAGAAAACAACAGAAGTCTAAATTGCCTACGGCAGACCGCAGACTTTATGATGGCAAGCACAGTGCAGAACACAAAGGAGAAGGCTGCGTAAAGACACAGAACAGTCCAAAACTTGTTGTTTCTAGGTAATAAATTAACAAAGTCTGATTTAAGTATATTCCACGGGAGAAAGATGAGGCTTTCTGCTCCCATAAAGATTTATAGCCTCGGAAACCCTGTACAGGGTCGCCATGAGTCGGAAGCAACTCCACAGCACATAACAACAACAAGTAAATATAACTATGTCTCCAAGACTGTTTATTTATGACCATACAGAAAATAAAGATAAGTGGGAGGGATGGAGGGGAAATAATTACACTGGCAATCTTTGGTGTTTTTCAAGTCAATAAAAAAAATAACTGCTTGTTGTTACGTGCCGTGGAGTTGGTTCTGACTCATAGCGACCCTGTACAAGGTTTCCGAGGTTGTAAATCTTTACAGGAGCAGAAAGCCTCATCTTTCTCCCGTGGAACAGCTGGTAGTTGCAAACTGCTGACCATGAGATTAACAGCCTGATTCATAACCACTACACTACCAAAGCTCCTTAATAACTGCTTGTTGAGTAAAAAAATAAGTAACTGCTTATGGCGAAGAGGAAAAATATTTTCTTCCCAATTTTTATGTGTGAGCTTATAAATTATATTGCTTGTGGACTATCTGAATCTCTTGGTCATCATGAACTAATTTTTCACTATAGCTATTGATCAAAAGTCACACAGGACACTTTTGGCACACTTATGACATAAAGGTCAAGAGAGACTTACCAACAAATATCCGGTTTTCATATTGCCGTTTGAATAATGGAAGCTTGTCTGGCTTACACTTTATAACAGGGATTTCTACAGGAACAGAATAATCCAGTGGTACAAACTTCAAGGAAAAGAAAAGACATACTGAATTCACAGAAGTATTAGTATGCATGTTATTTACATTGTCATAAGAGGTTTTAAGATCTTAAAATTAAATGATTTTACAAAATGATTTGGTGACACCACTGTCTAATAATGGACCAAATCGAGACATCATCTTATTTTTGACAAATGAGATTTTATTGGAACATATTTGTATATATATTATGTATAGCTGTTTCTGGACTCCTGGTGTGGCATTATAGAATCAGCACTGGACTGCGAACTATAAGGTCAGCAGTACAATCTATCAGCTGCCCCTCAGAAGCTCTACACAGGGTTGCTATGAGTTGGACTTGACTAAACGGCACATAACTTAACTGCTTTACATTGTAATGGCAGAGCTGAGTGGTTGCAACAGGAAATTTTAAAGCCTTAATTTTTTACTAACAATCGGTTAAAAGGAGCCCTGATGGTACAGAGATTAAGCACTCAACTGCCAACTGAAAAATCAGTGGTTCGAACTCACCAGTCACTCAGCAAGACAAAGACGTGACACTTGCTTCTATAGTAATTACCACTTTGGAAACCCTTGAGGTAGTTCTCCTCTGCCTTACGGATCACTGTGAGTTGGAATTAACTTGATAGAATTAAGTTTTCTGGGGTCTTGTAAAGAAAAAGTTTCCTGACCTCCGACAATAACACATTAAAGATAACATTCATAATGTGCTAGCTGTTCTCCAGAAAGATTCCTTAACTTCTTAAAAGGATCCAGTCAATAACTGAAAAATGCCCTGATAAACAATTATCTAGTGAGTTGTTAGAGTCTTGGTGTGGTGCTGTGGGATAAAGCACTGGACCGTAAGGTCAGTCTGAACCACAAGGTCAGTGGTTCAAACTCACCAGCTGCTCCTCGGAAACCCTATACAGGTCGCTATGAGTCAGAACCAACTCAATGGGACTTAAAGAGCAAATGGTGGGTTTGAATAGCCAACTTGTTGATTAGTAGTCAAGAGTTTTAGCACTGCCCCAGAGTGACAGACAGAGGGCATTTCCCTATAGCCAGCACCCTGAATTTGGACTCTAAGCCTCCTAAACTGCTAGAAGATCACACCTCTGGTATTTTGTTATAGCTACACTAGAAAATTAAGACGGTCATTTTATGAATGTTGCATGGCCTACATCATCTTGGCAATCTTTGGTATGTTTGAGTCCATTGTTACAACTCTTATGCCAATCCACGTCAGTGAGTGTTTCCTTCCTATTCCCTGAATGAAATAATAGTTCATTTTCCAGCAGCCTACATTCCAATACCACAACTCAAATAAGTCTATTCTTCTTTGGTCTTCCCTTTTCATTGTCCAGCTTTCACATATATAGAAAGCAATTGAAAGCACCATGGTCAGGTGCACTACTGTCATTTAAGTTAACAGCTTTGTTCTTCAGGATTTTATGTCTTTTACAGAAGATTTGTCCAATAAAACATGTTGTTTACCTCTGGAAGCTGCTTGGATATTCGAATCTGGTTGTGTGGTTTATCATCTATCTGGTATCGCAAAGCATCAACTCGACCCTTTCGATGCCCACAAGGAATAATTTCTTCACCACGTATCCAATAAAAATGAACCGGGCGTCTACGATCTACCAAAAGGTATTAAAATATTTTTCATTTGATTATTTACAGAAATTTGGTTATCATTAAAATACAGAATACTAAATACAGAACTTTAGAAAGTGTCTAATTTTTTAAAAAAGCAAAAATTATTTTGATGAATGATAGCTAACCTCCTTTATGCAGTAATCCAACCTAAAAGTTTTATAACATACAGACTTTGGCAGTTCAAAACTACCAGCTTTTCCTTGGAAACTCTATAGAGGTTCGCTATGACTTGGAACCGACTTGATGGCACATAACAACAACATTATGACATATAATAGTCCCATCAGTTTGTCATACTGGGGTGGCTTGTGTGTTCCTGTGAAGCTGGAAGCTATGCCATGGATATTTAAAAATCAGGCAAAGTCACCCATGGTGTACAGGTTTCACTTGCGCTTCCAGACAAACACTAGGAAGGAGACACAGCTACTTCCAAATGTTTAGCCATGAAAAACATCCTGTCAGATGTTGTTGTTATGTGCTGTTAAGGTGGTTCTGACCCACAGCAACCCTTTACAGGGTTTCCAAGTAGTGGCCTGTGAGCTTGAACTGCTGACTTTGCAGTCCAACGCATTAACCCACAGTACCACATCAGGACTACTCCTTATAGCACCAGAATATTGTCAGATATAGTGCTGGGAGATGAGCCCTTCAGGTTGGAAGGGACTCAAAATATGACTGGGGACGAGCTGCCTGCTCAATGTAGAGTGGATTATGATGATGGGACTTTCATTTGCTGGTGGAGCCAAACTCAAAATGAGGAAACACAGATGCAAACATTAATAATTAGAACATGAAATGTAAGGAGCACAAATTTATGAAAATTGGAAGTTGTGAAAAATTAATTGGAACCCATAAGCATCAGTAGCCTAGGCATTAGTGTGCTGAAATGGACTGGTATTGGTCATTTTGAAATTATTATGCCAGAATTTACAAAATGAAGAGGAATGGCTTGGGATTCATCATCAAAAAGAACATTTCAAGATGCATCTTGAAATATAAGACTGTCTGTGATAGGACAATATGCTTATGCCTACAAGGAAGACCAAGGAGCTCTGGTAGTGTTGTGGTTATGAACTGGGCTGCTAACCTCAAGGTTGACAGTTTGAAACTACCAGCTGTTCCGCAGGGGAAAGATGGGACTTTCTGCTCCTGTAAAGATTTCGTCTCGGAAACCCTACACAGGGTTTCTATGAGTCTGAACTGACTCCACGGCACATAACCACATCACCACTATTACTCAAATTTACACATCAACCATTAAAGCCAGTGGTGAAAGAATGTGGACAACTTCTTCAGTCTGTAATTGATCAAACACGCAATCAAGATTTATTGATAATTACTGATAATTGTAATACAACCATTGGAAACAAACAGGAAGGATCAGCAGTTGCAAAATAGGGCCTTGGTGACAGAACTGACACTGGAGATTGCAAGATGAATGACTTCTTCACTGAAAATACCTTTTTTAAAACAACATGAAAGACAACTATACACATGGACTTCACCAAATCGAATATACAGAAATCAAACTGACTACATCTGTGGTTGAAAAACTCCGTATTATCAGCCAAAACCAGGCCAGAAGCAGACTGTGAAGCAGACTATCAGCTGCTCATATGCAAGTTCAGCTGAAAGAAATTAAAATAAGTCCAGGAGAGCTAAAAAAGGACCTGGAACTATTCCATCTGAATTTAGAGATCATCTCAAGAACAGATATGATGCATTACACAACAATGACCAAAGACCAGAATTGTTGTTGTTGTTAGGTGCCATCGAGTCGGTACGGACTCATAGTGACCCTATGCACAACAGAACAAGACACTGCCCAGTCCTGGGCCAACCTCACAATTATTGTCATGCATGAGCCCATTGATGCTGCCACTTTGTCAATCCATTTCTCTGGAGATCTTCCTCTTTTTTCTGACCCTCCACCTTACCAAATAGTTGTGGGATAACATCAAGAACACCATACAGAAGAAAGCAAAAGGTCATTAAGAAGGCAAAAAACGGAAAAGACCAAAATGGATCTCAGAAGAGACTCTGAAACTTGCTCTCTAGCGTAAAGATGCTAAAAACTTCCATGGAAGGAAGGAGGTAAAAGAGCTAAACAGAAAATTTCAAAGGGAAGCTGGAGAAGTAAAAGTCAAGTATTATAATGAAACGTGCAAAGATCTTGAATAAGAAAAACAAAAGGAAGAATACACTCGGTATTTCTCAAGCTGAAAGAATTATGTAAAAAAAAAAAATTCAAGTTTCAACTTGCAATATTAAAGATTAGGCAAAATATTGAATAACGCAAAAAGCATCAAAAGAAGACAGTAGGAGTACACAGTCACTGTACCAAAAAGAAATGGCTGATATTCAACTATTTTAAGAGGTAGCATGTGACCAATCGTACTGAAGGAAAAAGTCCAAGGTGCACAGAAGGCCATGGCAAACAAGGCTCAGGAAATAAAATAGAAATCTTTGAAAAAACTAAGGTAACACTGGAGGCATTCACTCATTTACACCAAGAAATGTGGAAACTAGCTAACTGGCCTACTGATTGGCTCTTGGCTGAAAGCAAAGAATACCAGAAAGATGCTTACCTGTGGTTTATTGACTATTCATTGATTTTGACTGTATGGATCATGACAAGCTATGAACAACATTGCGGATAATGAGTCTTCTAGAACATTTAATGGTGCTCATGAGGAACTTCTAATGGTTTAAATTCAGGAAAGTTGTGCACTAGGGTTGAAGTATTTCACTATACTTAAGACACTCTGTATGTGAGCAAAAATCTGAGAAACTGGATTATATGAAGAACATGGGATCAACACTGGAAGAAGACTTGTTCAACATCATGGAAACAGCAGTCAAGAAATCAAAGGATGAACTGCATTAGGCAAGTCTGCTGCAGAAGACCTCTTTAAAGTATTAAGAGCAAAGATGTTAGTTTGAGGACTAAGGTGTGCCTGACTCAAGCCATGGTATTTTCAATAGCCTCACACGCATGTGAAAGTTAGACAATGAATAAGGAAGACCACAGAAGAACAAATTTGTGCTAGAGGAAGTAGTCAGAATGCTCCTAAGAAGTCAAGATGGTTATACTTTGTCTCTCATACATCAGATGTATTATCAGCAGAGATCAGTCCCTGGAGAATAATATCATGCTTGGTAAAGTGGAGGGTCGACAAAAAAGAGGGCGACCCCTAATGAAATGGACTGGCACACTGGCTGCAGCAACTGTGAGAATGGAACAGGACCAGATGGTGTGTTTCATTATGTTGTACATAGTGTCGCCATGGGTCGGAACCAACTAAAGAGCACGTAACAAAAACAAATTATGACCGAAGTATTTGTGCCAATACTATGCTGAACAATAACCTATAAGTTTTCTCAAGAATAAACACAAGACTAACTGTTCTTGAGTATCACTAACTAAAACAAAAGTAGTGTAGCATGAAGTAAAGTAATCCTATGAATTATTAACTCAATTTTTACTTTAATTCTCAAATGCATAGTTTTCATCATCTCCATTTTACACAAGAGATATCAGGGCCAAACATGGTTAAGGAAATTCTTCTAGGCCCGCTATACTAGTAACTCATGTCCGTGTTTCATTCAAGGCCATTCCTTTCAAATTGAGGGAGAAAAGTTAATATATACACTACTAGTCTCAGCTGAGAATCCACCTATAGTTTTACTAACATCAATTCAGTAAATATGATGTTATTCACCTGTTGGCAGACAAAGTTATTTTTTAAATTGTCCATATGTGAAGTACTTTCAATGTCTGTACTGATGCAAGGTCGGAGGTTCAAGCTCACCAGCTGCTCCTTGGAAACCCATAGCTACCCTGTAAAGCGTAGTGGTTACGAATCGGACTCCTAACCTCAAGGTCTGCAGTTCGAAACTACCAGCTGTTCCGCGGGAGAAAGATGAGGCTTTCTGTTCCTGTACAGATTTGCAGCCTCGGAAACCCTGTGCAGGGTCACTATGAGTCGGAACCGACTCCAGGGTACTTAGCAACAACAAAAACATAGGTCGAAATTGACTTGATGGCACTTAACAACAACTTACCAGTTAATAAAAACTGTTTACTAAAATTCAAGACTGTCTTGTGGCCCCAAATATACAGCTACATGGTCTTAGACTAGGTGCGTTTAAGGTGTCTGCAACTCAAAGGTTTTTTTTATTTTTTATAAAACAATGCTACCTACTGTAAAGTTATTGTAAGGATTTAAGTTATTTGGTATTCAACAACGTGGCACATAGTAAGTAGTTGATAAATGTTAGCTATTGTAGTCAATACAGCATTTAATCTTCCGTATTGTATGATAAAATATTTTTACTGTAATTGTCTTCTTTATAACAATAAAACTTAAAAGGTTAGTAAATTTACATACGGATAGGGTTTTTAGGTCCAAAAGACAACCCCATATGGACTCCACAGCCTGAGAGCCCTTTCTCTGAGCACTGCTCTTCCTTTGGTAGGTCTGTCACAAGCAGAGTCAGGGCATGACTGGTGCGCATCACCTACTAGTCCAAGGCTGTCTAACTAGCATTTGGCTGCGCAGAACTCAAATCTCCATGGTCCTAATGCAGTGACTTCTACTAAAGCAGTGCCAGCATGGAGGTAAGGGGCTGAAAAATGGACGAAGCCGAGAGAAAAATCTAAACTACCAGGCCAACAAGCAGCGGAGACGCTCCCTCTAATCTCCACGTCCCCCGCCCATTGAGGCTGACCCGGGGCTTACCGAGGGCAGCGGCTGCCAACGCCGGGTTGTGCTGGCTGAGCAGGCCCACGAGGGCGGCCACCAGCTGGTCCAGAAAGGGCGAGGCGGTCGTCTCGAGATTCTGATAGAGAGGCACGCGCCGCCTCCGCCGCAGGTAGAAGTGCTCCTGCAGGAGGCAGTCACAGGCGGCCGCGCGCAAGGTGGCTAACTCCAGTACAGGCGCGGGCTCCGCCGCCGGTGGCAGGCCGGAAAGAAACGCGGTCTTGGTAAAGCCCTGGTACCAGCGGTCAGCGTTCAGAGCGAAAGTCTGCGGGTAAACCACGTACTTCATGAACTGCATCTTCGTGAGGATTCGCAACTTCTGATCCACCGTCTCCGCTGCGTGTGCGGAAGCATGCCACCTCTCTATCCTCCGCTGACGGGCCGCCTTGCTTTTGGCTGTTAGGGAAGCCACAATCGGCGGGTAACGCACAGCGGGAACCGACGCGACATCTGGGCCAGTTGTTTCCGGAGCCAAGACGGCCACGTCGGCCGCTGAGTGTAGTGACCGCCCCCGACAGCGAGGAACGAGCCTCCAACACCAGGACGCCGCCATCTTTGCCGGGGATTCTGGGACCAGAGGGCAACTTTTCAATTGTCCCTGCCCTCATGCCGTAGAAACCAATGGGGAAGCGGAATCTGAGCCAGGTTTAGGAGATAGATTCAACAGGATTGAGATACGTTGCGTCATTACGTTTTAACCAATCAGGTCCCTCCTTTAACTTTTGCGTTTCGTGGTGCTTGCGTGGAGATTTGTTTCAGTCAGTAACGCTCAAACCAGAAAACTGAAATCCACCGCCGTCGTGTGGGTTCGCACTCAAGTTATTAAGTGCTGCGGCATCTGTTCTGACTCATAGCGACTCTGTATAGGGTTTCCGAGACTGGGCGGGAGCAGAAAGCCTCATCTTTGTCCGGCGTAGAGGCGGTTGGCTCTAACCGTCAACCAGGAGGTTCACAGTCCAGTGCTTATTTAACAAAGCTACCACGCTCCCATTCGGACTCATAGGGTTGCCAAGGTTCTAGGGAGCTTTCTGCCTCTTCATTCTTCTCCAGTGCAAGTGATTGTTTTGAACTACCATACAGTTAGCCGCCCATTCTAACTCCACAGCGCCACCAGGGCATCTATAAGGATTTCTAGCCTTGGAGCCATTCTACTTTCCTAAGGGTGGGAACCAGGAGCTATGATAGCATGTTGTTGTTGTTAGTAGGTACCATCGATTCGGTACGGACCCATAGCGACCTTATGCACAGCAGAATGAAACATCACTGCCGGATCCTGGGCCAACCTAACTACAGTTGAAACGCTTGAGTCCATCAATGCTGCCACTTGGACAATCCATCTCTTTGGGGAACCGACTCTATGGCACTTAACAACAACAACAATTTAAAATACCATGGTAGACAGTTTTCAGCGGAGCTTCCAGACAGACTAGGAAGGAGTGGCAGACTACTTCTGAATGTTTAGCTACTGAAAACATGAATAACATTACAACACTGTCAGATTTAGTGCCGGAAAATGAAAACATTAGCATAGTGCAGGATTGGTCAGTGTTTTGTTGTGTATAGGTATCCCTATAAGTCGCTGGGGGTCTTCCTCTTTTTCTCTGATCCTCCACCTTACCAAACATGATATCCTTCTCTAGCGACTGGTACCTCCTGAAAATATGTCCCAAGAATGAGAGACGAAGTTTGGCCATCCTGGCCTACAAGGAGCACTCTGGCTGTACTTCTTCCAACATAGATCTGCTTTTTTCTTTTGGCTTTCAATATTCTCCAACACCAAAGCTCAAATGCACCAATTCTTCTATGGCCTTCCTTATTCACTGTCCAGCTTTCGCATGCATATGAGGCTAAAGTATAGGGTCTGAGAAAAACAGGAAGACCCCCAATGAGATAGATTGGCATAGTGACAGCAGCAATGGTCTGAAATGTAGCAACAATTGTGATGTTGATACAGGACTGGACAGTGTTTTGTTGTGTTGCTAGGGTCACTATGAACCAGTACAGACTCGATGGCGTCAAACAACAACAGCATTATTCTTTGAGGAAGTATATATTCCATATATTTCTCATTGCTAATTAAAAATAATTTGTTTAATTATATTTATATGAAAGGAAGAAATATGCTTTTACTTGGATTTAACTGGGAGATAAAGGAAAATTTTTTTTAAATTTAGCTTTGTGTTATAACCAGTTATTTCATCATGAGTTGATGAATAATCTTTAAACTGATTGGAGCAATGACTGCTTTATTTTTTAATTTTCAGCAACAAATCAATGTCTGCAGAGTGGGTGCTCACTAGGTATTCACTTGGGGGACAAACACAACTCATAATGTAAATTTTTTTTAGCTAATGTAATTTATTGAGTAACTCCCATGTTAAAATGAAGGACTGGAATAATACTAATTTAAATTTATTGAAATAATTTTTGAGGGTTTTGGATACCAAATGTATTGCGTTAGACAAATATGCTGCACAGAACCTCATTGGAATGTTCAAGAACAATGATGTCAATTTGAGGAATAAGGTGTACCTGACCATGGTATTTTGTAGCCTAATATGCATCTGAAAGTTGGACAATGTATAAGGAAGATCATAGAAGAATTCATGCATTTGAGTTACATTAGAGGAGAATATTAAAAGTAACATGGACTGTCAAAGAACAAACCAATCTGTGTTGGAAAGACGTACAGTATGAATGCTCCTTGTTAGCCAGCCTGGTTAGACTTTGTCCCTCATACTTTGGACATATTGTCAGGAGGGTCCAATCCTTGGAGAAGGCCATCATGCTTGGTAAATGTAAGTTCAGAGAAAGGGGGAAGACCCCCAAATGAGATGATTGGCACAGTGGCAGCTGCAATGGGCTTAACAATGATGGTGAGAATGGCACAGGACCAGGCAGTGTTTTGTTCTGTTGTGTACAGGGTCACTATGAGTCGGAACTGACTGAATGGCACCTAACAACAACATTGAAAACCAAACATTTCTTTGCTGGTTTTTGTTGTTGTTAGGTGCCATCGAGTCAGTACCAACTCATGCTGAACCTATGCACAGCAGAATAAAGCACTGCGTGATCCTGGGCCAACCTCACTTTTGTTGCCACACTTAAGTCCACCGATGCTGCCACTTGACCACTCCATCTCATGTGGGTCTTCCTCTTTTTCTCTGATCCTCCACCCTACCGAATAGGATATCCTTCTCCAGCGACTGGTTCCTCCTGATGATATTCCCAAAGTATGACAGACGAAGTTTGTCCATCTTGGCCTCCAAGGAGCACTCTAGTTGCACTTCTTCCAACACTGATCTATTGGTTGTTTGGGCAGCCCATGGCATTTTCAATATTCTCCTCCAACAATATAACTCAAAAGCATCAATTCTTCCATGGTCTTCCTTATTTACTGTCCAGCTTTCACATGCATATGAGGTTACTGAAAATATCATGGCTTGGGTCAGGCGCACCTTGGTTCTCAAACTGACATACTTGCTTTTCAACACTTTAAAAAAAGTCTTGTGCAGCAGATTTGCCTAAAGCAATACGTCATTTGATTTCTTGACTGCTGCTTTGTGAGTGTTGATAGTTGATCCAAAAAGAATGAAGTCCTTGACAACTTGAATATTTTCTCCTTTTATCCATTGATAAGAATGTTGTTTATTGGTCCAGAGGTGAGGATTTTTGTTTTCTTTACATTGAGATATCATCCATATTGAAGGCTGTGCTCTTTGATCTTCATCATAAATGTTTTATGTCCTCCTCACTTTCAGCAAGCAAGTTTGTATCATCTGCATATCACAGGTTGTTAATGAGTCTTCCTCCAATCCTGATGCCACATTTTTCTTCATATAACCCAGCTTCTCCAATTATTTGCTCAGCATACAGGTTGAATAAGTATGGTGAAAGAGTACAACCCTGTTGCACACCTGTCTTAATTTTAAACCATTCAGTGTTCCCATGTTCTGTTAAAAACAACTGCCTCTTGATCCTTGTACAGATTCCTCATGAGCACAATTAAGTGTTCCTGAATACTCATACTTTGCAGTGTTGTTCATAGCTTGTCATGATCCACACAATCAAAAGTCTTTGCATAGTCAGTAAAGCACAGGTAAACATCTTTCTGGTATTCTCTGCTTTCAGCCAAGATCCATCAGACATCAGCAATGATATCCCTCATTCCAAGGCCTCTTCTGAATCCAACTTGAACCTGTGAAAGTTCTCTGTCAATGTATGCTTGCAGCTATTTCTGTATTACCTATAGTAAAACTTTACTCGCATGGGATACTAAGGGAAATTGTCCGATGATTTCTGCATTCTGTTGGGCCACCACTTTTTGGAATGGGCACAACTATGGATATCTTTCAAGCAGTTGGCCAGATAGCTGTCTTCCAAATTTCTTGGCATAGATGAGTGAGTGCCTCCTGAGCCGCCTCACTTTCTTGAAAGATTTCAATTTTAATTCCATCAATTCTTGGTGCCTTGTTCTTTGCCAATTCCTTCAGTGCACGCTGGACTTCCTCCTTCAGTATAATTGGCTCTTGATCATATGCTGCCTCTTGAAACGGTTGAACATGAACCATTTCCTTTTGGTACAGTGACTCTGTGTATTCCTTTCACCTCCCTTGAAGCCTTCTGCATCATTTGATAATTTGCCTAGGTGCATAAATTTGAATAATAGTGGTATTAACTGGGCTTCCCTATAGGCACATGGATATTATCCTATCACAGACAGGTTGTACCTCATGACTGATCTGGATATGTTGTTTTTGACAATGAATGCAACACCACTCCTCTTCAATTTGTCCTTCCTAACATAGTAATCTTTTGGTTGTCAGATTTAAAATGGCCAATACCAGTCCATTTCAGCTCACTAGTGCCTAAGGTATCGATGTTTCTGTATTCCATTTCATTTTTAACAACTTCCAATTTTCCCAGATTCCTACTTCATACATCCCATGTTCCGATTTTCAATGGATGCTTACAGCTGTTTCTCTTCATTTTGAGTTGTGCCCCATCAGCAAATGAAGGTCCCGCGGGCTTTTCTCCCACGGGCTTTACTCTATTAGTGTTACCACGGTCAACTCTACTCTGAGGAGGCAACTCTTCTCCAGTCGCATTTTGAGTGCCTTCCAACCTAGGGGGCTCATTTTCTGGCACTTTATCTGACAACGTTTCTCTGCTATTCATAAAATTTTCAGTGACTAAATATCTGGAAGTAGTTCATCATGCCTTCTTCCTAGTTTGTCTTGGTCTGGAAGCTCGTTTGAAACCTGTCCACCATGTTATAATTGTATATTTTTAGCTCTGTGCAGTACAACTTAACTATGAAGTCAAGTTTATAAACATTTTTTTTTTTTAAATCTCAGTTTCATTAATAATATGCTTGAAGTTGCAAACAATCTCAAATATCCATTTGAAGTTAACTAAAGTAGTGCATTTGGATATCATCTCACACCAGCAATAACAGCAAAGATCAAAAAAGTAGAGGACATTAAATGCTGGCGAGGAGAGACTGGGA